GCCGCGCTCACAAACAGCCAATACTTACGTTTGGCCCAAATTACATCTCCACTCCTCTAATCTGGCTAATTGTCAATATGGTCGAAAGAGGAGGACAAAAAAAAGGTTGTGTTATAAAGAGCTTTTCTGGCATCAAATATATTAATATAGTAGGTTATTTTTTAAAATCATGTCATCTTTATCTTCAATATTTTCACAAGGCTAAACTAAGCCTTAATTATTAAAAAATTTGACTTAATTTTGAGTTAGATTTTAGAAAAAGAACCAGGGCCCTGTTCACAATGGAAAGCAGCTTAAAAGTGAATGCCCAAAAAACCCTCTCAGGACTTACATTTTCTCTTAAAGAATATGTGGCTCTATTTGCCTTTATTCATAATTTCTCTAGGTGTGAAAAAGGGTGAAAAAACCCAGAAAAGGGCTTGAGCCAGGAACCAAACCTGGGACAGTTGCATCAAGCACTCTGGCTTCCACAGGATGACTCTGCTGTACTACAAATCAACAGGGCATCCAAACAAAACTTATTTTTATGCCTTTACAAAGCCGCTTGGTATATGCATGATTTGCTGTTTTTCAATGTTTCTCTGCTTCAGCACAGCTGATTCTGATGACTGCAATTCAGCAAAAGCCTGTTAATCAGTTAACAATGGAAATCAGCTGTGCTGAAGCAGGGAACCCTCTAAAACCTGCAGGGCAGCTGCCCTTAAAGACAGACTTTAGACACATCTTGCTTAAAATATATTTCCACTATTGCTTCCAGAACCACTTTTTTCCATGGATCTTCATTTCTGAGAACCCTTTCATATTCCTTAGACCTTTTTGGCAAACATTTGCACTTTAAGGCACGATGTTTGCAAAGATCAGATCACCTGTTGTCACATTCTGGAGAGTCAGGCATTTTCCCACCACCGTAGCCAAATCCAGAATCTGGTTTTACCCAGTGATATTGGACTTACCCAGCATTATGTAATCAGCAGAAAGGATTTTAAAAAAGTAAAATCACTCAAAAACTGAAGAAAAGTTACAACTAGAACAGATTTGGAATTGCTGACTCCCGTGGTTTTGTGGGGAAAGAGGAGTTCCAGACCCTAAAATCTTTAATTGGGTTTCCTTTATTGAATCTAATATGGAGAATGTAGGTGTTACAGCAGATGTAACACAGATATATTGAAAGTGAAATAAAATATTTGAATTAATAATAGCAGCCTTAATTATGCAGAATAAAAGCTCAAATTTTTACCAACAAAACCCTACATTTCTACTTTTTAAGCAAAGTGAAGCCTTGCATCATAAGGAAACTGGAAATTCTAATAATGCATAATCCTGGGGTTTGTTTTAATTTTAAGTTTTGGCTGATTTTATGTATTTTAGAGCAACCACACTGAAACTCTAACATTCAAAACAGGTCCGTAGGTTTAAATAGCATTTTTGGCTGTGAACTACTGTAGAAAACTACCCTGGTTACTGAAGGTTTCTCTAATTATAACACAGCTTTCGTCTCCATTGTTGTGAAAGCTTCATCCATATCTGTGATCTGATTGGCTATATGGTGTGTCTGATACCTGGAAAGGGGAGTGTTACAGAAAAGGTAAAAAAAAAAAAAAGTAATAAATTATGATACTTTAAGAATTAAAAGCAATTTTAAAGTTCAAATTTATCTATTCTATTCTGGCTGGTGTGCTCAGAATAGTATACAGTGGTTTATTTACCGCGTCAGATTTAAATACAGATTATGCACTTTAAATGCTTTAGTACTGACATAAAATAAAGAAGTTAGAAAAGACTTGAAATGACTTTTAGAAAAGCCTCTTAATGTGACACTGTAACAGAAACATCTGTTTTAAATTAATTATGTGATGGGACCAATGTGATTGTTAGATAGTTAATTTTAACATTTTTTTGTCTCATTTATAAAACAAGCATTGTCAAACATCAAATGTAAAAAAGACGGAGATCAAATGTGCAGCTAAGGAAAGTGGTGACGATGGTGGATCCTGTGTAACTCTGCTAATGGCCGAGAACCACATTGATTTGTTGAGCTTCTTGCTACTGCTCAAGGCTCTACAAATAAAAATGTAATCTAGATTAAGGAAAGTAACGTCAATTCTTTTATGTGTTTTTTTTTTCACAACTCATAACCTTTAATACATATTTCCAGATTTTAGCACTTTGTTTGCAACTTTACAAAGGGTTTGTTTTACCATTTTTTTTACTTCTGACCCCAATCAGGTAAACAGGGCACAGACGTTCAGGCTCCGTACAGAGGCGTCACTCTTCGTTCACTGAACACACTCCTGTGGACCGGACAAAAGCAGCAGGCTGACAGATGAGGTTTGTATCTGGGGGCTGGGAATCTCTGTGTTGCTGTGCTGTGTGTGTATTAGTGCATATGTGGTGCTCATGCATTTGTATACATAAATGTGTTAGTGTGTGCACCTATTTGTGAATCCATATGTGTGTATGTGTGTGTGTGTTTTTGGTTGGGGGGGGGGGGGGGGTGGGGGTGGTCTCAGGGGGCAGCTCTGTGTCTCCTCCATCTGCCACCCCACTCTAGTGACACCCAAGGGAATGGCAGGAAGAGGGGTGGGGAATTCATTTTGGAAAAAAAAAAAGAATCAGGGTCCATCGGTCTAATGGGCAACAATACTGGTTTCACTGATGGGCCAAAGGCAAAGGACACTGGTTGGGTGTGTGGAAGCCAATGTACCAATCTGTGTGACAAAACATTGGGCCACCCCCGTCAAGATCTGCCCTAGTCTGCCTAATAAGGCACGCACACCCCTGATTATGCCTCAAATGAGGAAGGGGCTCACTGTATTTTGCACACATGCACACCCACCCGGGGCTAATGTCAGCCTAATGCATGGCCATGCTGTGGCCAGAGGGCTAATTGGGTATATAAACACAAACACATCCCTTGAGAGGGGAGAAAGGAAAGGGTGTGTTTTCTGCTTCCTCTATAGCGAGAAACAAGGAGCATAAAGTTAAAGATGAAACTCATCATATTTTGGCTGTTCTGATAGTGAAGGATGACACGGCAGGGCTTTCGCGTACCGAACAGCTGGACGGCGGTGATGTAGATGCATGATGTGGACTGGCACGGTGGCAGGTGGCATCTCATGCTGTCTTTATCAAAACTATGATCAGAAAAAAAAAAACGGTAAACGGCGCCGCCACTCTCACAACTAAACCGTCATGTGGAAGAGGAGCATATGGCTCCTGCACCACTGGGCAGAAGGAGCACTCAGCAAGATGAATGCTGAGGTTCTGGCAACTGTGTTGACTTTAACTAGTCAAATTAACAACATATCAAAGGGAAGAGGGAGGGATGAGGAGGAATAGACTGTTGCTGAGTGGATCTGGGGTTAAATGGCAAGCAGTGTCTGGTGTTTGAGGTCCTATGTCCCTGCATTGTCACCAAAAAACTCCACCGCACACCCAAGCAACCAACCCGACTGGGTGCTTAGCCTACCCTCTCGCTGCTTTGAGGGCTATGTTAATGAAACAGTTGCTGTTTCCTGGCATAACATTAATTACCCGATCAAAATAGAGTGGGTAATTAACTGCCCTTCTTTAGCAGTGCTAATTACATTAACAGAGAAGGACCATTGCAAGGGAGGATAAGAGGAGAGGAAGAAAGACGGGATGAAGCTGCATCAAACAAAGGCAAGGCAGCGGTGAGCCACATGCCTCCATGTGAGTATTTTTTTTCTTCAACAGTGAGAGGAAGAGGCCGCATTGGAAGGAGACTCATGTGGTTCTCACTCTGGCCCCCAGAGGCTTGGTCCTCGGAGAGAAGCAGGCTTATTGGAGAGGAGAGATATGGGAGTGAGGAAGGGAGGGGGGAGGATGTTGTTTATCTTGACATGCTCTACTCAGTCTTTAACGCTCGCATCACAATTAAGATGCTGCGGCTCATCAGCTATGTATACAAAACAGTGTAACAAGCTGCACGAGCACACAGGTGATGAGCACAGTCAAAAATAGATCAGGCACAACCTTAAGATGTGGAGGTTTGCAGGAAAAGCTTCACGCTCAGGACACCACAGCATGATATAGAAAAAAATATGTAACCACTTCAATCACAGCTATGCTTTCTTTTTCTCATTTTATTTGAAGCACAAAATATAATTACACCTTAAAATTTACAAATCACATTTGTACCATTTCTTGTATCACTTCAAAAGAAAGATGGCTTAAAAACATAATTACAAATTGCTAACAATTTTCTTAAATAAATAAGATTAACTGAAATTTAAAAACCGAATTGCAAATGTCAGCTACTCTTTGCGTTCGTTTTGTGCACGTCCTGAGAATGCATTTTGTGTTGCAAAAACTAATGCTGTCCCTTTAAATGTATTCATATACCTTTTGATTTTATGTCACTGTTTAATGTTAAATCCACAAAATATGTATTTATTTTGGTAAAACCTATGTGAAAGACCAACACAAAGTGGTACAAAATTGTAAATTGAACAATACCTTTTAATAAATATGCATAAAAAAAGTTTTTTACATTGTAATGTAAGCTTTGATGAGGAACACCATGGAATAATAAATCCAATAGACAGGTCAGGGGTAAATATAAGAGAATTTATAAAACCAAGTTAGGTTCTAAAACTAGGCTTTACTGTTCACAATCCATCATCTAAAGGTGGGAAAACTATGGCTTAATTTCAGACCTACCAAAACATGACAAAGCCACTTTAATCCATGGCCTGTAAAAAGGAGAGCATTAATTAGAGAATACCTTCTTCATAGTGAAACATTGTGGTAGAAGCATAATGTAGGAGGATTTTTTATTTTTAGCAAGGACAAACCAACTGCGTAAAGTTGATGGGAAGATCAGTGAACATTAACAACTCTAGGGGAATCAGAGGTTGCAAAAAAAGGTAAAATGTCACCTTCCAGAAGGAAAGCAGTTATACTGACAGATATACAAGGAAATTAGTTTAAAGCTTAGTATGCTATAATGTCCCTGTCAGAGCCCAGGCTTGAACATATTTTAATATCAGTGACAAAAGTTGACAGTTGATGTTTAAAGGCCTTATATTAGCAAAAATCTGAAATAAAATAAACCCAAACCACTTGCAGCTTTAATTTCAGCAAAAAAAAATTTTTAAATCAGCATTGACTCATGGGGTTTGGTTAAAACGGACATCCCCCTTTGTATGTTTTATTTAAAAAAAAAAAAAGAAAAAAAGAAAAATAAACAGGGAGACATTTTCTGTCCCTTTTCTTTCTTTTCACAATTATACATACATTGCTTTGTGCTGGTCTATCACTTTGAAGTTGTGTTTCACAAATTAAGAAAACGTGGACATATTCAACAGGTATAAATACCTTTACAAGGAATTGTAGCTGCAATTACATAAGAACATTGATAAAAGACCACCTAATGCAACTCTGTATTGTTTGAACTGTTGTGCTTTTGCTTTCTATACTGCATAGTGACTAGACATTAAAAAATGAAAGTTCACAACTTTTTCAGGTTGAAAATGTACCAGAGCATTGGTGAAAAAAGCATGCATTTTAGGTGAAAATGAAAAGGATACAGCTAACTAATACTCCCCTTTACATTAGGACAATAACCTTTAACCGTGACCAAACACATTTAATTGCTTTTGCAAGAACCTGAAAAGTAGGAGTTTAATTTAAAAAAAAAAAAACTCCACTAAAAAAATCCATTTCAGAGAGTTATTTGTCAAAGTAATTGGCAATTGGAGAGCTTGCTTAATTTCATCAACCCTTGGAAGGAGAACCAGTTTATAAAAAAAACACGCTTATATTATTCCCTAAACTAACTTTAATAAGTTAAATTGCTTGTTCTTAAATAAATCAATATATGAATTCATTTTAGTAATAACCCATGAGACAAAATTTTATCTCATGAAAAAAAAAAAAAACTGCCACAACAAAATATAAAGGTTCTACTTTTCTGGAATGTAAGTTTTCTTTAAAAAGTCTACTACAAAACAACCTCTCGCTAGCCCATAGATGGTGTACACACATGCCATTTAGGGTGTTTAGACACTCACAAAATAGGCACCCTGTTTTTTTTAGAGCCGCAGCTTCGTTTCTGAACTGCCCGTCCTCAGTCGACGCTCAGTGATCCGACAGTGCGTCCTGTAGGTCTTTTGCAGGTGTTGCAAAGCTTGGATACTGCTGGATCAGAGTTAAGGGCAGATCCTTTCTGAAGCTTCATGGGATATTAAAAAGGAGTTTTCTTTCCTGTCAGATACACACGCTGCAGTAAACTGTTCAGTCTTGCTTTTTGTGGCTCAGGCTGTTGTGTTTTCTTGTGTATCTGGAGAAGATTGCTGGTCTTTGGATATTTTCATACCAAGCCCCGTTTCCTTTGCATGGTCACAAAAAGTTGGAGGTTTGGAAACAGCGGGTGGAATCAGAGAGGAAAAGTTACGTTCACTAGTGATCCGTTTTTTTTACTCTCCCTGCTCAGTGCCAAAAAGAAGGGGAGGTAAGTGAAGCAGTGGTCTGGGGCAGATTGGGGACAGGTGCTTTGCTACATCGGGGGGACAACCAGGCCCGTCATCGCTGGAGAGAAAAAAATATACAAAATCTATGATTCTAAATCAGTCAGGCGTTTCATCACTGTACATCATCCAAGCCGTGTTCAGTCATGGTTTTTGAGCTGGTTAGTATAGTTAGACTGCATTGGTGAGTTCAGACAGCGGGGTCAGATAGTGAGTTGGATGACTACCTCTGAAGCTGTTCCCCCCCGAGGCAGGGCAGGCGGGGGAAGGAGAACCTTGGGGTCTGAGGACGGGAGCAAAAGCACTCTTCTGTTTAGCAGCGGAAGGGAAAGAGGAGAAAGGCAAGAGAGATGACGAGGAGCTGGAGCTTCCTGGTATTGTGGGGCTTGCTGGCATTACTGTAGAACATAGAGAGGCAAACAGTGGTAAACCTGAAACCGTGTCAGACTCAGAATTATAAGATCCAGGGAGAGATTAAGGGCTTACTGTAGGGAGAGCTTGTGGGTGAGGCGCTGCTGAATCCAGGAGACCCAGGAACACCCAGACTTGTCATTGGAACTGTACCGTAGCCTCCAGTCATTCCCCCGCTGCCCCCATAGCTCGACTGTTGGGGAGTGGAGGCTGAGGGGTAACCTCTTGGGGACAAACTGCTGGAGTTACGGATATAACCTGGAGGAAACATTGCAGAGTAGGCTCAGTTCTAAGATTTATTTGCTGATAAAGACAGAAGGAAAGAACTGTCTGCTCACCTTGGCTGCTCTGTCCTGGATCTCCAATGCTGACCCCTAACTGGGATGGATAGGAGCCCAAGCCCATAACACTCCCGTGGACTGGTGAGCTGGGAAGTGCCTGCAGCTGACTGTGAGGACGAGGAACGCTGTAGAGTGCCTCAGCAATATCAGCTGCACGTTTCAGCAGCATATCCTATAGCAAGACAAACAAAGAAACAAACAACAGGTCATTTGTAGGACTAAAGCATGTCGATTGGCTGGTATGGTGTTTTTCTGCTAGCTTACAGAAATCTACTAATTAATCTCATGAAAGGAAAAGCTTCAAGCCGCACTTTATCAGCCCATCAGTGAATATATAGGCCGGATGACAATTTTCTGACTTTCGGTTCTTTCAGATGTTGCCTTTTCATATGTGGGTTAAATTAGATGCTATAAATCAAATTGGCTAACTATATGAAAAGAAGAAACTGCCAAAAATGGCTTTTATATTCAGACAATTTGTTTACACCATATGGTTATTAATCCTGTTTAATACAGTGTGATATTGACAGTGCTTTCTCAAAGGTATAAACAATAAAACCTTCCAAGGTAAAAGAAATCCCCTTTTGACTTATTTTACACTATTATAAGGTATTTATTCAGTAAATTTATGATATATTAAAATGAAATAGTTTTAATCTGTTTCATTTTCATTTAAACACAAACTAATGCACCAATTTCAAGGTAAATTAATATATCAGAACATATTTTGTTCAGAGCCCTCTAGGTGATATTTTGTCAGATAGCCTTTGAGTGCAAATGCAGCAGAAAGCCCTTGTCTCTACCAGCTTTACGTACACAAATGAAGATGATGATTTTTGCCTGATTTTTCTTGCTCTGCTAAAGTATTGTAAAATTATCTATTAACACTGATTTTCAACTTTTTTCACAGGTTCAATTTAGTATCTGTATGGACTTTGAGTGAGTCATTCTAAGACATAGATGGACTTCAATCATCCATTCAGTTGTCATTCTTGTTCTATGTTAAGGCTTACCAGTCTGTCAGAACCTGTACCTCCACTATAACTGTATGATCTGGTTGAAATGTAAAGTGCCTTGACATGGCTTGTGTTGTGAATTGGCGCTATATAAATAAACTGAATTGAATTGAACTATAGTATCATTTATTTTGCAGTTTTTAACAGATTTTCTACAAGGGCTGTTGTATGTTTATCTCCAGCCATTTTGTCATCATCTCTGACCAACTATTGTTGAACTAAAGCACAGTTTGACACTGTTTACTGTGGGACTCCTGACAGAAATTAGCTTGTTAGGGATCAGAAAAAGGGGTGCTTAAATCAACACCTCTCATATTTTGATTTTTAAAAATTGTGACAAGTCATTTTACAAAGGTGTAATAGTTTGTCTATTATATATCAAAGTTTACATAGGAAAATGTAGAAACACTAAAATGGTTTGAAAACATTTGCAAAACATTGTATAATAAAATGGCAGACTTTCAAATATTTCAGTGTTTTTGTATAATTAGTCCCCTATTTGCCCTTTATAAGTACCTGATTACTGTGTGGATTTCCATACAGAGCCTCAACAAGATCTGCTGCTCTTTTTAGGAGAATCTCCTACAAAGAAAATTATTGATTTACTTATTTCAAGACCAAAGAAATTATAATCATATTCCTTAAGTGGGTAAGAAGTGTCTCACCTTGGCTAGTTTCTCTGGGTCACCTGGATGCCGGGGAATTATCTTCTGAAGTCGCTGAAAACCGTAGTCTATAGTTGGCTCATTAAGGGCTAGAAAAAAAATCATTAGGTTCTCACACCTTAGAAACAATTATTTTAAGTCCTGTATCGAGCTTTAATATTGCAAAGGTTCCTCTTAATACCTGTGTAGATGAAGCGTCCAGGTGCTCCCTTGCAGAACTGCTTCGATTTATATGACAGAGTTACCTCCACAACCCCAGGGATGTGTCGAGGAGGCGTCTGTACACGGATCGCATGTGGAGTGATCAGCTGAGAAGAAAGCATAGAAACAATGTCACCAAAGATGCGTCCCTTTGTCGTGTAAATATTTGGGCTAACTCATTACTGTGAAAGGATTCAATTGTTAAGACTGCTCATAAATCACCCAAATAATGAGACAAGCCATATGCTGCACATTTCATTTCACAATATGTAGCATCATTAGTGGGATGTTTGGAAGACAACTTTTACCTCACTCCACACGAGCATGCTTCCAAACACCACCTGCAGTCCGTCGAAAAAGTTCTCCCCAATGACTATGACCATCGCCCCGCCGGTGGTCCAGCCTTCACTGGGGCTGATGGCTTTGATGCAGGGAGTAGCTAAAAGAGGAGAGAAAAGCTTTACTTACACAATATCAGATGGCTATCAATGAAAAATCAAAATACAAGGGGAAGTGGGTTAAAAATTTTCCTACGTACTCTTCAAGAGTATTAGCAATGGTATTATTGAAATATTATTTTACATGCAGTAATGTTTTATGCGCCAAAGCAAAAAAATTATTGTACTTTTTTTGTAATTTGTCTAAAAAAAGCAGAATTTATTAGGTATGATTATCTTCTGTAATTTTTGTCTCTTGGTACATTACATACATTCCCAATCAAAACACGGAGTTTTGTGGTTTTAATCTAATAAAATCCAAAAATGATTAAATGTACTAGTATTTTTCCAACAGACTGTCATGGAGTAAGTGTAATTAAACCCAATTACACACTCGAATAACAAGATTAGTGTTTGACAAAAAAAACGGCCAAAGGTCACTTAAATAGAAATGCATATATACATCCTATTTAAGGGGTTTACGAAAAAATTTATTATAACAGATATCTAAACAGTAGGAAAAACTATGACCCTCTACTTATGTAAAAGTTTATATTAACTAAATAAAATGTTACTTGGTAAGATACAAGGCTTGTTGTTATAAATGTATACTTTTTTGTTTGCTTCTCAATGTACTTACCTGAGTTTTTAAATACTTGCTGCACTATCTAAAAAAATGATTGAAGAGATGATGAAGAAATGGCTTTGATAACTATATATTTTTCCTCTTTTTCAGTAAGAACATATTAAAACTTTTTTATTTTTCCCGATTTTTCTTATTTTATGGGATGAACAAATAATCAGTTATGACTTTGTTTTCCCCCCAATAAATTGTGTAGCATGTCATTCAATCTCGATCATGATTTCAGATACAAAGAAGGTTTGTGGTGGTTGTGTGACAAAGCATAAAAAGGGTTACAAATACAACTATAAGACACTGCGATTACGTAAGGAGACATCACGGAAGCGGGAAGCTGAATCCCTTAAAGCTGCTTTATAGTTTTACCGTATTCCATGGTATTCTCCACAGACTCTCCCGGCTCCAATCGGCGAGCTCGCCGGCCATGTTTAGAGTTGTTGTGGACAAACATATTGTCAGACACGGCCAGGACGTGTCCGTCTACGCTCACTGTGCTGGACAAGACCACCTGAGTGAAATGACAAGGTGGCCAAGTGGAAGATGCATAAGCAAACATGGAGTATTTAGACAACAGACTAAGAGTCAAAATGTCAGGTTACAACTGTACAAAAAATAATAATAATTCCCCAAGCAACAATTTGTTTTTCAATACAGGTGAACTTCATATATCTTAATGATAATCTAGCATCCCTGGGATTTCCTTATTACATCTGCATTGGGCTGCTTCACACTCCTCCACCGGGTCACCATATGGACTCCTCTCCTCCTAGCCAAACGTTTTGATTCATACAGCACACAACAGTCTCCGTTGTCTCCTCTTAATCCCTCAATGACAACAAACATATGAACCAAATCTCCCGTTTCAGCTGGTTGTTAAAGTGGTGGATGATGTATGGCTATCATAATGTGATTTTCTGCCTATTGCACATCTCTGCTTACATCTGGATCCCATAGGTGAGACTTAATAAGAGAATAGAAACAAGTATTTGTCCCCCTTATCTACAGTATTTATTTAGTTTTTTTCAGCACACTGCACCGTGTATTTTGAAATAATATGTACCATAAACCAGCTTTTGCCTTTTAGAGACACACATGGTGAAAGGCTTGCACATAAAAGAAGATAACTAAAAAGAGGAGTAAAAAAACATATGTTCTATAGGTGGTGGAAGGACAAGAAAAATAACTGTAAATTATCGATCAAGCAGCGCACTTCTACCCAGCCCTGGTCACCTTTTAACCCAAAGACCTAAAGTTTCTGAGCGCCTCTGTGCTCATAACTTCTCAGCATGTGTCACACAACAGGAGTTAAAGCAAACATGATGGGAGACGAAGACTGGGAGGTGCGGGGGGCAGTCGGACAGAGGGGTGTGCCGGGCAAAGGAGAATGCCAGAGAGAGGCCGCTAGTGCTGAAAGACGGCAAAGGAAGTGAGCTCGGGGAGTCCCTTGTGACCACTTCCTGGGTCACGGAGCATGACCTTCCCCATCTGGAGCCAATCACTCAATTCTTGACAACTTCCTGAAACACCTCAACCTATTTCCTGCACCCAGGCACCCCCAAAGCCATGTCTCCCTCATATCTAAATCTTTGGTTTTTCTTTCCATCTCTCTAACTTATTGATTTCTACCTTTCACCTTTACCTCCTCAAGCAGGACTTCCTCTGGGAAACTACTTCATGGACTTACCATGTGACCAATGTAGCAATAACAGCTTCTTTTTATGACTTTAAATGACATCCAGCTGCCAAATGGTCTAACTGGATACTAAAACGTAAACCGGTGCTGTAGTTGATCAATAATTTAACTCTGGTACTTAGTGATGAAGAGAGCTTGGGAGAGGGGAAAAGGAAAGCAGCTCCAGGTTTTAAAAACCACCTGAACATCCAATGAACTGGATGGGAGATTTGTTTTTCATGTGAAAAGTACCTACTGTAGGTGGATGAGAAAGCAGCCAGTAAGCATAGTTTGGACAACATTAAATTACGGACAGCACATTAGAGTGATGTGATGTCATTAAGGGCCCCTTAGATTAACCAATTAACTTGGACATTGGAGATGGTGATTTCAGATATTTCATTCTAACTAAACACGTCTTCTTCCCAAACTTATGTATATTATTATGTACATACAATGATAATAAAAATGATCCTGCATGATGCCTTTTTTTGTCTCATCTTAGAGAGTTTAACATAGCTGCCACTGGCTTTCATATGAACATTTCCATAGAATAACAGTTTAGACCGCTGGAAAAAATATATATGTTTTGAAGCATAGATTTTGATCTAGTTAAACTAAGGGTACCTTTACACCAGGATGCCTAGTCTTTAAGTAGGTGGACAAAGCAAACCCACCTCACTTGATTGGTGTACCTTCATGTTTAAAGTACTGTCATAGCCTCAGGCCATTTGGGTGCTATCACAAGATTTGCGCTATCACATATTTTAGCGACAGGCAGCAAATACAGAAGTAATTCTAATTAGTAAGAGCTCTTTACCTAAAGCAGTTCACACATTATTGCTAGTGTGAAATTATTGCTGTATATGTACTGTGTGTGATACAGGCAAATGAACACACCTTTGTATGTTTTTAGTTTTATTATGAAGAGATTTTAGCTTTTTGCTAGATTGGTGTTATTCGCATATTTTTGCTCTTTTTGAAAAGATTTGACTCGCAACATCCATGTGGGTTTCCATCGCAAAAGGATGTACAGATTTAACCCAGCAATATGGATTTTCTTTCCTACCCCTGATAAAATTCTTACTGTTGACCTCATGAAAGGTGAAGTAACAGAAGCAAAGCTGCAACAATTGGATGATTTCAGACTCAGGCTATGGCCTAATGTTGGGATTAAATAGATGGTGAATGAAGATTCAAAAGTGAAATCATTACTTCTTCTCATTTGTTTACCTTGCCTCTTTAGTTCAGTGGGTATTATAAATGCATTTACCCAGTAGGAATAATTCACCCAACTTCACTTACAAGTGAACCGAGGCAAACATTTCTAAGAGTTTGAATGTAAGCTTTTACATCTGCCAGTTGAAGCAGACTATGAACTAAACAACAACACTGCAATCATTTACTTTGGTCAAAAAACTTCAAGTGTGAAAACATCTAATTGTCCCTTTTGTCTAAATCATAAAATGCAACTGTCCTACTTGAACGGAATGAGGAGGGAAAAGTTTTGGGGGATAAAAATCCTGGATAAAAAGTTGATTCAGGCGACAAGGTATATATTGAGATAGACATGATGAGAGGTTATAGTCTATCATAACACATCAGGTAAGGATGGGGTTTCTATCAGTGCGACAGTATTCTTCTATCTCTGGTATCACCAGTCTTTTTTATGTCCAAACACAAGGACTCATATACGTGCGCATTTTTATGTACCTGGAATCTTCTCATGTCCCTCGGGTTCCCTGCTGTCTTCAGACAATTCTGATTGCACTTCAGGAAAAACTTCAAGAAAAACCTGCAAAGGTAAACAAGAGGGCACACATTTTTTTAAGTTTTATATCAGCAAAATATAAACTCTGTGACAGTCTAGTGTATGTAATTATTTTCCACCTTTTAACACAATAAATGTCGAAGGACAGATTTTTTTTTTTCACAGCCAGATCCTCTGTGATTGTAAGTACGCACATGCGATTAAAGTTCTGACATAAATCCCAGCTGTTTAGTTTAGTTTTAAAGTCAATGTTTTTACATTTTAAATCAAGTAATGAGATCTGGAAGCACAAGCCGAGTGAAAAGTGCTGCTGTGTTTCAAAGTAAGCCAGAGACAGTGATCTATGCCAGCGGACTCAGGGGACTGGAGTATCCCACAATGCCATATTTGAACCCCACATGGGAGCGCAGAGGGAAACGAAGTAGAGACAGCCACAGAGAAAATTAAATGAGAAAGTGGCAGTGCGAATGTAGGGAAGAAGGCACACGCAGGTGCTCACATGGACATTTTTTTCCTTCTACTTTATGTGTCTCATTACATATGTAACTTGAATCCAATCCACTGCGGAACTGAAGAAAGGAAGAGGGGCACTGATAGCCCGAGCTACACCTAGAAAACCTAAAAGAAAGGTGGAATAAATAGGAGAGAGGTAGACTACTGAAAGAGACTCCAAATCCCAGGTGTACACGGTTCTGAAACACAGCCAGCTGCCATGGCAACGCTGCTCTGCCGCAATCCCAAAGTCCCCACGCTGAGAGGCAAAGATGGGAAAGAGGAGGGAGACACCGGAGCACATTCCATCACGTAAAAACGGCAAAGAGACAGAGCAGGAATATAGAAATAAATAGAAAAAGAGGATAAGCAGTTTTGGTAAGGGGGGATGAGGTTTAAGGACACCCCATCAGGTGTTTTGCATGGGCACAAATAAGGTTTGCATTAAAAAAACAAAACAATGGTTGCATGGTGATGTGACTGTATCATATATTCAGCATTTAAAATAAATTTTCACTACATTTAGCATAAAGGACTGAGGAACATTTGTTTCTGTTGATGATGTGCTTGTGTCTCCTACTAATACTTCCTAAGGAAGGAAGGAACCAAAGAAGGAACCAAGAAAGGAAAACCTTATTAGTTCTTGATAGTCCACCATCTAGGATTTTCACAGCTGCAACTCCTTTTCCATCCCTGTGTTCCAGTGAAATGTGCACATTTTAAAAATCCCTGTCTACTTTTGTTTGCTTATCTTGAAAAGCTGCATTATAGGCCAAGCAACTTTGTAATTTCATCAACTCTGAATGTTCTGCCACAAATGATATTTGCAGACAAACACAAAGAGCCTCTCCTACAGGGCTTTCTGTGCCAAGTGACCTCTGCACATTCTGCAGCCCAAAAAAGGCTGGGTTGCCCAGTGCATTGCGTAGTTAGAAAAGCTGCAGGACATTTCTGTTTTTTGGGGGGGGTTGTTAGCACAATATTAAATTGAAAAGCAATGAAATATGTTAGGAACTGAATTATCAACAATTCATTTAAAAACAGAATAAGCATGCAAACTACTCAGAACTATTAAGACAAGGGAGTTTATCAAAGCTGCTTATGTGGATTTTGAATTTAATAAACAGTAAGATGCAGAAGGATGCCTGTTATTTAATGACTTGGACGAGTAACAACAAGAAAACCTATCTATCTGAATTTTTTTTTACTGCCTATGTCAGAGAGAACAGTAACTAAATCTAGCAAAGCATAATATTTACTATACTTTAAAATAATAAGAAAAACAGTGAAGTAAAAGACGGACAACAATACAGAATAATCTTCTCTATGTTGTGTATGCAGGAATTATAAAACGTGACTAAGTTTACCCTCACTGACTCCAGCATCTTTTCAGTTGTAGACAGTGATGTTAGAATCTGCACTAATTTGACTAGATGGTGGTAATATAGTTGGATATTGCAAAAGTAGATCAAATATTTGAATTGATCAACAAAACACAACCTGAGTGAATTCTGTTATTTATACTGCTTTGCTAATGAAGGTTACCATTAAAATGCCATCACCAACACTTAAAAATGCAGGAAGATTCTGGTTTATATTATGTTCAAATAAAATCATTTATTATCATAGAGGCCCCCGATCTATTATTTTTCTGTGTTTTATCATTAATTGACAGCTGCTTATAATATTTCTATTCTTTTACAAGTTAAGTCTAGCTTTGATCTGTGTTTTATACTTTTATTTTTTACACTTCTAAAAGTAAACATTTTACTATGCATCACTGTATGTTGGCAGTTTTCAATATTAAACTGTATTTGAATAGTAGTTTAGATGATACCTTTACAAGTATCATATAATGAAAAAGAGAATATAGAGCTGCAGTGAATAAGGATTTTGTTTCTTATTATTTCCAACATAATCCTAAAGAAAAAAGAAAAGATGTTCCAAGCCAAAAATAGATTTACATATATATTAACTAACTTTTTATCAAATACTTCCATTTTAATTATTTCATATGGTAATAGTCCTCAGGTGTCCCTGTGTTTAAAAGTGTGTACATGATGTATAATGCTGGCAGCCATGCTTTTAGGGGGCTGCAGCAAAAACTGCCAGATCACTGATGCACTCTAACTCAAAATTCCCTGAAAAGTATCTTTCTTACAGAAGCCCTGAACGGCAATAGAGAAAAAAATCTGGAAAAGTTTGAAGTTTGAAAACCAGGCATCTCTGTATGGAGGATCAACTCTGCCATATTTAAAAATAACTACAGAAATAAATGAATGCTCAATAAATAAATAAGCATACAATTAATTGCCCCCCAAAATACAATAAACAAATAAATGTAGGTAGAAATGAAATTATACAGTGAGACATAAATGTATATATCTCTTTTGATTACCTTTTTAATTTATTCACCTTTGTAATAATTACCGTATGTATTTATTTTACATTATAATCTTCAACTTTATTTATTTATTACTTATTTTTTAAGTATTTATTTATGTGCGTGTGACAATATTTTTGTCTGTTTTATTCTTCCTTTGTATTTTTTTACCCTATTTATTTTTCAATGCTATTTCTGCCTCATTATGCAAATGAGAGGGGTGTGTCTTAGAGTCAACTCCATATCTATGACCATACAGTTGAAGAATACAGTCGTAAGTGACTATCTGTCTTATGAAGTCAGTGCCTCTAGTAGCAAAATAAATTATTACAAGATTTTGTTATGTTTTTTTTTATTTTTGCTTGCCTTTCAGGGCAGAAAATAATGCAAGAAAAAAATAACTTAAAACTTTTCTTTTGCAGATTTTTTTTTGCCTTTCACGGCTTCCGTACATCCTCTACTTATGCTGATGCAATTATTTTCACTATTCTGCATTGCATTTTACTCCAATAAAGTACTTGTTCCATCACTATCACTGTTTCAACTAAACAAACAATAACAGTGAGGAGAAAAATGCCCCAGAAGGAGGCCGTGGTTTGTTGGCCTGCATGGGTCGGTTTGAACCCACCCACATCGTGCTCTTAGCAAAACATAAGTCATCTTAATGTAGAGCGGCTGTGTGGAGAGGAAATTCATATTGGCCCCCACAGCCCTGGATCCTCCCACTGAATACTAATCTTTCCCTCATTCTCTCAGCTTTACTCATCATTTCTCCATCTCTTGCTCCAGTGTCCTCCCTTGTGAAAAGGACCTGGCTTGCAACTAGTTCTCGGTTCCAACTTGCCTCTAATATTACTAGAGCTGAGTTATGCTCTTGGAGGACAATCAATATTGATGTTGGCAGAGAGTGATTACAATTTATCTGTCAGAGCTCAGACCTTCCACCTCAGAGCTGCGGTAGACCTGAGTTTGTAGCGGAAATGTAACATGGCATATCTGTAATTTTCACACACCACAATGTAATATCACTTCTAATAGATGTCTGATGTTATGGAGACTGTGATAAAGGGGAAAATCTTTCAGAAAAGTTAGAAGATGTGTGCTTTAGATGAGCATTTTGTGCTCCCATTTCATTTAAACATATAGTATCACCTTTCAAAACTATTCCCTGAGCCTGAAATTTTCAATTTTTTTCATGTTTGAACCACAAAATAGGTTTTAATCCACATTTTATCAGATAGATGGAAACAATCTTATACAGTAGTTGAGTGGGAAAAAATATTTATTATATCTGAAAAGTGATATTCCGTTTGTATTCTCTTAAATCAGTACTTTATACTTTCTGTAATTCAATCTTTTAGGTTATATGTTTTTGCAGCTTAGAACTGTAAGATTGTATGGAGAGATTCAATGAGCATCAGTTTTCATGTGCTGCCATTTATTCCTACGCACTTTGGCTCTGGTCTTTGACTTGACCATTTTACATGTCGACATATTTTGATTCAAACCATTGGAGCTGTAAGTTTATAGTCATTGTCCTACAGGGAAGTGAACTCAAGTATTTGGTAACCTGTAGACATTTTTCAGGACTCACTTTATATAGTTTCATCTAGGGCTGAAATAATTAATTGGATTAATCGTGATTATTTGATTATTGAAATGATTGTCAACTTATTAAGTATTTGTTAAATGGAACATATAGACTGCAAAACAAGCTTTTAGCTAACAGAGCGACCCACCTAGTGCAGTAACTATACCAAAATTGTAAAAAAATATATATATATTTTAAATTTAAAATGAAAAAAAAATGTCATCTGTTACTCTGCTCTATCCAGAACTCTTAGTGGAAAACTTTCATTTCATAAAAAGTTTTCTTTAAGGAACCTTTGGCTATCCAATTATTAATCAATTAATGTAAAAAAAAATATTTGATATTAAGTATTTAATTGACTTGCAAAAAATCATAAGTTGCAGCCCTAGTTTCTTCTATCTCCCCAGTATCTCTGATAAGCTTTCCAGTCACTGTTAAAGAAATGCATCCCAACAGCATGATGCTGCCACCACCATTTTTCAACCCACAGAGGTTTTGCATGAGGATTGGATCCCTGCAGGTACCTCCAAAGTTCCTCTAGAGTACCTCTAGGTTTCT